CTAAATCATCACAATTTTCAATGTTGTTCCACCAGATATCATTGTCTCCGCAACATTTAGATTTGAGGTCAATTAAGTGGAGAGATTCTCGAGAACTGAAAGCTATGGAAAGGGAAATACTGTAATAATTACTTGGTTTGGAGCGGGAATGCCCCGAGTATCAACTCGCCATGTTCAAGGACGTTATTGATGGCGATGGCCTTTAAGTGTTCAAAGCCTTAAGCTATACTGAAGAAGAAGATGCAAACGATTGCCTTGAAGTAATGGGGAAGATGAAAAGCTAAGGTCTCTCGTTGCTTACACAACTGTCTTCTCGAGCGGTATAAAATGATACCAAACTCTAACGTGTGTTATCGTTTCAGCCGTTTTGGACGAAATTCGTTCTGACCTTTTATACGATAGCCTTCGGATATGGTGTGACATACTATCTTGGTCTGATGCACTGCTAAAAATGATCGGTTGACAAAATGGACAAGAATAACGCTGAAGCTCATTGTAGCGCTTGCAGCGACTGGCAAATTCCAAAACGGGACGAAACAAAACGAGCTCTAGGCGTGTCGCGACAAACTAGTGNCATTGTAGCCCTTGCAGCGACTGACAAATTCCAAAACGGGACGAAACAAAACGAGCTCTAGGCGTGTCGCGACAAACTAGTGGGTGGGACTACTTTACAGGTCGTCTTCAAGGGTAGACATGTAAACCACGGAAAACCAAAGTTGACGGTTATCGGCGATTTATTACATCAAAATAAACTGATCGTAACCTGAAATAACAATATGCAACGTAATTCTATCAATTTAGCGGAAAAGTTTGTAACAAATAGTCAAAACTTACACGAGACAAACTAACGACTTGGAATCGATAACATAACGAAATTGAATAACAATACATCAAAAAATAGCCAGCGTAAATACTACGCTAAGATACTAAATATGATGCAATCACAGAATTACACAACAAAGGAACTGATGAACAGCTGATTGCTCTCGAACCTAAAAGGTGGGCGGTCACTCTAGTAACATTAAGAACATTTTCTAATTTAGACGATTATAAAACAATTAACGCTGTACAAATGTTCGTTTGTATTCCTTCGCCCATAGCTATAAAAACGTAACTTGACAAAGGTACTCACATATCTGTCCCGCTTGAGCCAAGGGTTAGGAAATCAAAGAAAACCAAGAGTTCAAG